TCCCAAGAAGAATGTCGCGCACTCACTTTCCCAGCCAGGACCCAGGCACTAATGAGAGAAAAGGCAGCTCACCCCTTCGCTTATACACCACTGATCTGTCGATGGGCGAGTGGTAGAGTGGCTTCTTGCTTTTCCACACGAACCTGTGCAGGGCAGAAACACCGCTGGAGCAGGAGAAAGGGCCGCACCCCGTGCCAGAGAGCGGCTCTGAGGAGGGCCTGCAACGCCTGCCCTTCGGGTGGAAGCTCTGCCTCAGGCGCCCCCTGACCCCGGCTGCAGAGGACGCCCTGCAGAGTGAAAGCGCCCAGAACAAGCCCCAGCAGCTGTGCTCCTCCCAAGAGCCTCCAGGGCCAGGGACCCCAACCTCCCAACGACACGCAGAAGTGGAGGCGGGCCCCGCGCCAGGAAGTGCCCGCTGCCTATCCCAGGGAGTGAGGCCGCTGGCCCTGAGCGGAGGGTGAAGTCCGTGGTCGGATTCGGATGCACAGACGCCTGGAGGCCAAGCCTACCCTGGTGAGGGGGATGGGGGCGGTCTGGTTCCAGCAGACACAGTCCGACCAGCCCTGCGCTCACCCTCGGCACCTAGGCAGCCGGCCAGGGCGGTGCCGCTGTAAAGTGGAGGTACCGCAGTGCTCCCCCAAATACACACAGCGTCCTCTGCCGAGCAGAGACCCAGGGCGTGTGGGCCCTCCCGGGTGGGGGCAGCCCAGGCAGGAGGCAGGGGCGACAGGCTCCATTCCGGGCTCTTCCCTGCGGTGGACGGCTCTCCCGATTCCCAGCAGGAAGAGGCCTGCCTCCTTCGCGCCCAGGCCACGCTCTGCCTCGGAGACAGCGTGGCAGCAGGCAGGGGCCGGGCTCTGCCACCTCCACGCATGACTGCAGGCGTCACATGTGACAGATGCTGGAGTTCCAAAGGCAGAGCCCGTCTCCTTCCCGGGCCCCCAGGCTGGCGGGAACGGCGCGTGGTGAGGACTCATTTAAGTGTCTGGAGAAGACTGACTGGACGAATACATGAACAAACCAAGAGACTCAACATCTCCAGGTCTGCCCGCCTTCACGGTTGCTGTGAGGAAAACCGAGGCCGTGCTGCAGCCCTGCACCGCGGAGGAAGCAGTTTCTACCCGGGCTGACGAAGTGTCTAGCTAGTAGACACTCAAGAAATATCTGTGGATTTTCTACCAAAAAAAAGCTGATGAGGAATAGAGAGTCAGAAACAGAGGTGCATGTACGAGCAAACTCAATCCCAGTGCACGGAGGCCACGGGGTTCAGTAACTTGCCCGCGGGCACAGAGCGAGGCTGCCCACAGGCAGGGCCCCCAGCGCGGCGGGCTCTCCCCCCTTCACCACAGGGACCCTCCTCGGCACAGAGTTCAACGCCAGGGAGGCAGGCTTCCCTTTGTTGTGTTCTGGAGGGATCTCTATTTTCCAATTAAAGAAAAAGGTTATTAGAAAATAGCAGCTAATATTTCCGGAACAGAAGCGTGACCATGCTGATGAGTCTATACTGGAGACCCTTCCTCTTCCAAATGTGGAGTGACAGACTTGGGAAGAAGTAGGTGAATCTAAAACCAGCAGAGATGACGTACTTTGCCCTGGCTGCCTCCCATTTTTGTTTTTTCTCATCAAAAGACTTCTTCATAACTTGGTACCATTTTCTGAAATCAAAACATGGCTTATCTGGAAAAAAAAAGCATGATAATCAAATTAGTCACATTATAATAATATACATTATTCACCTGAATCTCCATTCGCTGACACAATTAAACACCTACACAACAGCTCTTGGAAATTACGGATGGATCCATTTTCTGGACTCTATTCGAGCCCTGAGCAATAGTCACTCCTCCTCTGAGTTTCTACCGATGTCGCAGCCCCAACTAGATGCCATGGAAGCTGCCTTTTGTGTGTCTGTTTCTCGTAGATTGGACTCCCACCTCCCTGAGGACACAAGACATATTCTGTTTCCACTACCCACCAGGCCTCTTCCTCCCAGCCCAGCGCCCAGCAGGGCCTGCACACAGCTGCCCTGTGTTGGAGGCCACGCGAGGAAGGGACTGATGGCCGCGCCGTGTGTGGAAGGGCAGGACAGCAGCTGAATCCAGAGCCTCCGGTCTCATCAGCTCCCACTCCTGTTCTTCCTACTCCGATTCCAAACCCAGAGCTTCGGGTAAGTGGGAGAGCGGGCCGCCCAGCACAGCCGGCGTGTTCCGGATGCCAAGGTTAGAGCTACCGGGCTGCATGGAGTCCAGCTCAGCCACCCAGCGCTCTCTATGCACTCTACCTGGGGGGTGGGAACGAGCAGGGAGGGGAAATGAAATGAAAGGAAAAGCAGAAAAGAGGATCCGCGTGAGGGAGTTAGAGGGAAGGAAGGCTGACAGGAGGAGGAAGAGGCTGCGTACGTCTAGTTTTCCATGTTCTCTCATGAAGACAGTCTCCCTCCAGGTCTAGTTACAATTCTTTTCAACCGGCCTAAATGGTCATCTCTCCATCCCACAGGGCCTTGGAGGCCACACAGCCACCGGGGAGCAGCAGCTAGCAAAGAGCTACAGACGAGGGACACCTGCCAACAGAGCACAGGCCCTCTGACCCTGAGCAGTCACAGCTTCTCTAAGGGCAAGTTCACTGATGACGTAGGGACGGTGGGCACAGGTGAGCAGAAGAATGGAGACGACCTGCCCGCTGACAGCTCAGGCTCAGGGTCAGAGGAGGGAACATGTCCACGTGCTCCGCCTGCTCCACCCGGCTCCACAGGCTGGGGTGGCCCTGCAGCCGGGAGGAGCCGGCCTGGACATGGCCACCCCTCACTCTGTGCGGGACCATCGTGAGGCCGCCGCTGAGCGAAGCACTTGCGTGTGCTCTGGAGTCACACACACCAAGGGCCACGCACATGGAACCTTAGGAAAGTGAAGCTCGTAGGAAGAGATGTGGTCGCCAGGGCTGGGGCGGGGGGGCGGGACAGCTGGCCACAGGCACAGACTTCCAGCTCTAACATGAACAAGGTCTGAGGATCCGACAGAAAGGCGGTGACTGCAGCTGATAACACTGTACAGTATAGTTGACATTTGCTAAGAAAGTTAAACTTCAATGTTTTCACACACACACACGTTACATACGTGCGGGCATGAGTGTGTTAGCTGACTGGACGGCAGAAAGCCTTTGACATGGACATGCATCAAAGCACAAATGTACACTTTCAATGCCTTATATGTCAGCTATTCCTCAATAAAACTGAGAATTCAGGAAGGACAACCCACATGAATCCTAGTGAGGACACCGAGACACTGGAATTGCGTGTAAGAGTTCGCGTATTTATCACGTTACTGAGTCTCTTCAGCCAGTCACCAAGGAGGGAGCACAGATCCGTTTCTTCTAAAACAGTAGGAGGGAGATGGCCCCGTCCTCTCGCCACTCCCCACCTACTTGTCTGCTGTGATGTATGTAGTACCTATTTTAAGTCAAACGGGCTTCCACGCACTTTACAAGTACGGACAATCTACTAGGGACAGACACGCTCAGTCCATTCAATGGGCTAAACATCTAACGGAAGTTGGACGGGAGTGGCTGTGGCAGGAGCGATTAGTCCTGATTTGGAAAAGGGGGTGGGGAGCAGGTGAGAAGAGGAAGTGTTCCAGTGCACCTTGAAGAGTGCAGAGGGACTTCCCAGGGCTGGGGGGTCTGGGGGGTCTGGGGGACAGGGGGGAAAAGGGAAGAGCACTTCAGGTAGGAGAACCAGAGTGAGCAAAGGCTGAAGGCATCGGAATAGCCGGCCCGGTCATAACACTGCCCGGAGGTCACTGCCCAGCGTGGCTGCAAGCTGGCCTGTCACACAGTAGGCGGGCACGGACGTTCCCGGTAACCGAGAGCTATAACCAGATAACTGTGAAAACAGAATCTGGTACAATAAATCCCCACAGTTATTGATCTTTTAACCCGCTGCTTATCTTTGAATGTGACTGATAAAAAAAGCAAGTACCTTCTTTGTTCTCTTCGTTGTATGTCTCAGCAATAGCAGACAAAGACCTGGAGACACCAACAGACAAGTCAATTTATGTAGAAATCCCTCATCTGAAGAGTGACATTTGAATTCTTCAGAAAGAAAAGTACACGCAGTCCTTGACACTGAGGCAACTTCCGTGGAGAAGCCCCCCCTGACACAGGGAGGAGGACACCACAAATGCTGCCACTCCCGGCTGGTCTCCGGGAGGGTCTCATTTTACAGTTCCTTTACTTCCCCAAAGGACCTGAGCTGCAGTGCCAGGTGCCGCGGGCATGCAGATGGAGGGAGAATGATTCTCTAGGACTGAAGGTTAACACTCAGGAGCCAGTGGACAATGAGAAACGTGTATCTACCCAGAAACTAGAAATAAAACACGATACAAAAACCGTACTAAACACACACGCAAGAAGTCAGGATGACACCTGCCACCCGCCGCGTCCCTCCGGCGTCAGGAGGAAGTGCGGCTGTGGCCCTTGCCCAGAGCCGCCAAGCTCACTCTCCATGGGGAGCACATGGCGATCACTCCGATGAGGTACAGCAGCAGTTTCCCTGAGACAACCGACACACTCACCACTCTACGTTGTCATCCAACAAGAAGAGCAGCTTCAACACTGTCACAATGACGGCCACCGCCTGCACGTCATACTTCACAGTCCTTCCCTTCCTGGCTATGGGGTCGAATGTCAGAAAGTCCACGTCTCCGATGCCAGCCATCTTCACCACCTGGCAGGTGAAATCGTACATCTCGTCTGGGGAAGGAAAGACAGTGCAATAGGAAATAACAAAAACACTAACGTGTGTGTCTAGAGAACGAGCTTTATCTTCAAACACCGTGCTGCCCGGCCAGTGTGGTTCAGTGGTTGAGCGTTGACCTCTGGGCCAGGAGGTCACGGTTTGATTCCCAGTCAGGGCACATGCCTGGGTTATAGAGGCATAGTCTCTTCTCACATAATTTAGAAATGGGAACCATGTTATTATTATAAAGAATGACATTTCTTGAAAACTATTTTAAATTAATATCTTCAACTGCTTCTCTTACCAAAAGTACAGAGTAATAAAAAGGCAAATGGGCCTGGCCAGCAGGGTTCAGGGCTGGGGCGTCAGCCTGTGCACCAAGGGTCTCGGGTCTGATTCCAGGTCAAGGGCGCGTGCCTGATTGCAGGTTCAGTGCCCAGCCCAGGGTTGGGGTGCATGCAGGAGGCAACCATTCGACGTGTCTCTCTCACATCAATGTTTCTCTCTCTCTCTCTCCCTCTCTCTCCCCCTCCTCCTCCCCTCCTCCTCTGCACTCTCTCTGAAAATCAATGGAAAACAAATATCCTTGGGTGAAGATTTAAAAAAAAGAAAAGAAAATGGAAGAAATCATGGGAAAGGAAGAGTGGGGGAAACTGAGGCGTGCGGGCTCTGACCCAGAGCACAGCGTGGTGGACACTGGCTCTGGGACGTGAAGACTGGGTGCCAGCGTGTCCTCTGCCACTGCCAGCCAGGCCCGGAGCCTCGCTAGCTCTCATGCTATTGAGGCACTGCACGTGGAAGCACGGGTACGCTCAAGTTCCCCACAAAATACACACATGAATGACGGTGAGAGCTGCCAGGATTCTCTGGAGCGGCACCCAGCCGGTATGAGGAACAAGACCAGAAAATGGGGCTGGAGCTCATTCAGAGCCGGCAGAGCCAGCACTGACTCAGTGGGGCGTGTGCGCTGGAGGACCCCTCCCTGCGGCTCCGAGACCACGGGTCACACGGGCGGGCTCTGGGGCGGGCACTGCTGGCAGCGAACTGCGCTCAGCTCCTGGGCACCCGCGAGAGGGCTGCCAACATCCTAGAGCAGGGGTGGGCAAACTTTTTGACTCGGGGGCCACAATGGTTCTTAAACTGGACCGGAGGCCGGAACAAAAGCATGGATGGAGTGTGTGTGTGAACTAATATAAATTCAAAGTAAACATCATTACATAAAAGGGTACGGTCCCTTTTTTTTTAGTTTTATTCATTTCAAACAGGCCGGATCAGGCCCGCGGGCCGTAATTTGCCCACGGCTGTCCTAGAGTCTCCTTACAATCCTATGGGTGGTGTGCAAACCAAGGCCACAATTCAGACTCTAACCCCTGAGGTGCAGGGGGAGCACATCTTAATTTGTAGGTCATCTGTTTGTTGTTTCCCCCACTACTATTAATACAACCTCAATATAGGACATTCATAAGACACGGGAAGGTAGAAGGAAGGAAAACGCATAACCATAACCTAGAATAGCACTGTAATAGTTGGCATATTTACTCCTAATATTTTTATGAATACTTTCATGTTATGTAGCTGTAGTGATGTTATATATAATTTTGTAATTTGGGTCATTTCACTTTTTTATTGTATCACAAATATTTTATTGTAACACAAAAAGCTTAAAATTATTTTTGTTCCTTCAAAAATATTTTTAAATTGCAGACTTAATGTTTATACTTGTGTATATGTTACTAATTATATTTAAATTATAATTAAAATACTGTACAGTTTCACAAGCTGCTTTTCTCATATATTTCTTTTCTTTTTTTCTTTTTTTTTTTTTTTATTATTTTTTTTTTTTTTTTTACT